CTCGTAATGAGCTTACTAACTCATCCACAATCAGTACCGATTAAGCATGTAGATAAAGACACTAATTCACCCACAGACGCCGACATTGGATGCCATTCTACAAGCAACATCAGAAGGGTTGCAATAAATGCAAATTCCTACAAGCAGCACTAGAAGACATGCATTCAACACAGCTTGTCCACATATGACAGCAGAAAGCTTGTAATGCATACAACAATCCTATCTACAAGCAATAACAGTGAATGTATCGCCAATGGTGATGGATCCTATGCAGGCATGGGATGGAAGAGCGTGGAAAATGCAAATGCCTACCAACAATGATGGAAGATTCGCCGTGTGTACAATAGTATACCTATAGACGACGATCATAAAAAAAAAGGCTATGACCATCAACATGCAGTGAATGCTATGATACCCTAACAGTCAACAACCACGCGATGACAGTCAAATGCATCAGTCCCCGATAAGTAAAGGCAAATGATATGCAGCAAGTGCAAGTGCCTACAAGTTACTGTAAGAAACTCGTTGAACACACAATGTACTATTTGTATGCAAATACATAAGACATTCATCCAATGCAGACATCTACGACTCTTTGTAGGAAACTTGTCATGTATATTGTATATAACATGCTATTTATGAGCAAATGCAAAATGCAGGCACCTACGAGTCGCTGTAGGAGACTAGTCATATATACAGCATGCTATCCACCAGCAAATGTAAAAAAGCAATGAGCTTGTGATAAATACGAGCATCTATGAGTCACTGTAGAATACCTATCATGTACACAACCTACTATCTACGAGCAAATACAAAAGAACTGTAGTAAATGCAAACGCCTACGAGCTAAGCTGGCGACTTCCAATTACTCGCTAATGACCGACGAACAAATCTAACAAAGCTTGCCATGCACAATAGCTTGCTCGCAAGAGCCAACGGGCGACCCATAATGCAACACTAATTCATATGTAAGCAGAAGCACGAAATTTATAATAAAAACTGTAGGCCACTGGTAAACCGAGACAATAAATTTGCGGCGCCAGACTATCACACTAGATAAATCAGTCTACTTGCAAGCGACAGGTAGGAGGCTCCTTACGCATGGCATAACTTGTTTGTAGGCTGAAGTACACTCCCACAGGCTGAATATTGAAGAAAATGATGGCTCATAGAAGATGAAATGTCACTGGATCCGCAATATTTATACAAGTAGACATAAGACATTCACAGACCCCCTTTAAAAAACTCGTGCATATTCTAAATGATGATTTGTTGCAAAATTAATCATATTTGAATGGTGCAAAAACACCCCTCATGCATTTGTACACTAACATATTCATAATGTGCATACGTTTGCAGTATGCAGGTCACATCATGCAAACACATCATTAAAAAATATAAAATACGCCATGCTATGGCGACACATTGTATTATCATGCAAAATGCATCGTGCATATACACGTTGTAACATACAAAATGCATTAGCAAGTACACCATACAACATGTAAAATGCACTGTGTAGCGGTGTGTGTTACGCCGACATGTAAATACTTCATGCAATACGTGAAAGTACTAGAGTATCATGTAGATGCATTATGCAAACATACTATACGCTACATTAACACGCTAAACCATGCATATCAAGCACACCATGCTACATGCGAAATATCATGCAAGATGCAAATACATATGCATACATGCAAATACACTAGTACATATGTGAGTATGTTAACATGCAGATGTAAACATAAGCATGTGTACAAACATGCAAATATGTCGTATGTACCTAATAGGTTGAATACGTACCACTATACAAACACATCATGCAAAATGCATTAAAAATATATATACTCGTATGGGCCCTGACGAGTGTGATGCATGTACATACGTGACATCTGAGGATGCTGTGTGGGTCAAAGATATGAACTTAAATTCAAGTATGATCATTCTCTTTGAATGAACCCAAGTTGACACGATTTGAACCACTGAGCAAATACATGGTCGTAATGCCAACCAGAGTATTTGATTTTATATATTCATATTAGACCTTCAAGGTCTTTTATAAAAAAAATTTATCGATCAAAATACACATTCTCAATTCCGATGTCTATACGATAACTCTTAAAATTAGGAGCTTGACCTGATCATCGGTTTGCAAGAAGACAGTGTTGACAAGGTTTAGTCGATGAAATGATCATATCCATAAATTTCTCGATGATAGCCGTGTTGACAGAATATCTCAATCGAAGGGGATCCCAAACATCAGGATGCTTCCAAAATCCTATAAAATACATTCAATTGACTTTAACGTATTCATGAATGATAGTATTGTTTAAAATTGAAACAAAATGCCAAAATACTTAATGCAAAATATCCATTCACCCTAAGCAACAGTTTGTCGAGGCGGACAAATTTAAAAAGCACTTCAGCTCAAAAAAAGTGGATGTCTAGTCGAGAATATCACAAAGATTCATTCTCAAATCATCTCTTGCAAATAAGGACGTGGCACGTGTACTATAACCAGTAGTTTCACTACAACATGGCACCATAGGTAAATGATTATGACCGGGACCCTCTGACCTAGTAATTTTATCTCTAAATGACACCATTAAATTACGGTCATGGTCAAAGCATGTATATTCTCCAACGACGTTAAATCTTTAAGTAATGAATCAATATGATATGATCGATATGACACATAGCTCTTTGTCAGCTAAGGTGGACTCAAATCCATCCCCTTGAGAAATATTCACTCCATGTCTACAAGGTACCCTTGGACGAAGCAATTCGTCGATAAGGATCCTTCGGTCTGGTTGGGTCGACTACCTCCCCTGACTAAGTAGACTAGGTATCATGATGACCCAGGACGACGAAACCATGGGATCTTCATCGAGTCTATCATCATTCCCCTACCATCCACTTTAAGTACAAGTAGTAATTTCTAATTTTAAATGCCTAAACACACCGCCACTATACGTCAGATACTATGTATCTGTTTGACCACAAGTCTTAATCGAAAGTTCTCTCTCGTTATCGGGAGGTGTAATTAATTATAGGAGCTTGTGCTTATAGGAAACATGAACTCAGATCATAAAGTCCTCACAAAATGAGTGCAAAGTCACTGGGTAATGTCTTAATCAAAACCCAATCTGCCTTATGAAAATTTGCCTTGGAACCTACTCGTTAAAACTCTCCTTGATGACTTGGAAAAAGGAGGGGCCGATGAGAGGCTGGGGCGTGAATTTTCGGAGCCTACACTCAAACCACTATCTCTCTCAGGGTTTTTCATATAGGGCCTCTTTTGGTACAACAAGTTGATTAGATCTATTTTTATCCGTATCACTCCTGCCTTGGAGATCTTTTAGAGGTCAATAAATGTATTTTGAACTCACAATGTGATCGAGAAATAATTCGCTCTACTTATTAAAGCAGGAGAGGTTTTTAATTGACACTCAACTCACAAACATTTAGAGTTCCCAAACGTTTTCCCTAAGTGTGAGACGAGACTTTTCAATGAGCAGAAACCTTAGACCAGAGTTTCAAGTTAAGGATTGTACCTATATAAGTGAAAAGTTAAACTCAGTTGGCCACATATCTCCTTGGATGAAGCTCTGATTATCTAGTTGGTCTAGCAATATAGATTTCTCATCATATAGCAACCAGTATAGTGCCAATCAACTCCTCGCTGCTTGTCAGTTGCTGTGGATGGCAAGGAGCCACTATCTGGCTCACATTTCAACCCAAGAACGGGCATTTGATGCCTAGAATGGTCCAGGATGGTTAGATTCATGTTTTCTGTGGATTAGCTCACCCAATGAAGAGGGTTATAGGTGTTAGTGTTCAATTTTTTTTTTTTAAATTCAGATGTTGAACTTTAAGTTTTGAGCTTCAAATTTTAAAATTTATATTTTAAACGTCTGATTTCATTTTTCAAATTTTGAAATTTGAATTGTGGTTAAAGCTACAGAATGGGTGGATGGTATGTGGAGGTGATTTTGACTAGGAACTAGATTTGTAAATCTGCTAGGAAGGGGGCTGACTGCCGGGAACTTGATGGTTCCAAAATAGTCTGTTTTAGCTAGGAGGTGGCCGGAATTTCAGGTGGCTGTTGACTGTTATCGGTAATATAGAACAGTTTTTTCAACAAGTATGACAACTTGGAGCTGTCAAAACAGCTACAAACTCGGGAAGCTCAATAGAAGAAATACAGGAAAGGCATTGGGAAGGAGATGCATAATTTGCAGGCTGATTACAGGCTTTAAGGCTCTTGACAGTGGAGTTTTAGCAGGCTTGAGACAATTTTGTGATCGGATTTGCATCAAGCTTTAGGCTAAAGCTTGATGCAAATCCGATCACAAAATTTAGGACGCCCCCATGTACATCAAGCTAAAATTAGTCATCAATAACGGGTAGGAAATGAGAATGTTGGTAGAATTTTGATGATCATTATATAGTTTTTGCTGCATTTTGTCATTTTTTATTATAAACTTCAATCGGATGCTACACCCTTGGCCTAAATTCATAAGCTTGAGTCTTCAAAAATATTAGATGAAAATAACATATTTACATATATTATTCATAATTTCAATAAAATGTTAATTTCATCCTTGTTAGCTTGAAGAGGAACTTAGGTTATGACCCATTATTGAACAGATAGCTGTCAATGCTGCATTAAAACAGAATAAAACCTGAATTTTTCAAGATAACTTATGATGGAAGAAAAGATTTTTTTTTTGTGTGTGTGGAAGGAATAGAAGGAGATTTTCAAAGCCCTTACAATGAACAATCAATTGTACGTAGTGTTTCATACTTGCATCTCTCCTAAATCCAGTTCTGAACTTGTGTTTTAAGGCCGCAAGAGAAATTGTTCTGTCACCTCTTTTATGGAGTCTAAAAAAGAAGAATGTAAAGGCTTAATAAATATGGAATATAATTTATCATTAATTTCCTTTGTGGCTTCTGTTTTATTCTATAAATCAAGCGCCAATTACTCTTTTCAGGAATTGAGATTCATGATGAGGAGCTAGCACGTTTTGTTGAGCATGTGGATAAAGATAACAACGGAATCATAACTTTTGAGGAGTGGAGAGACTTTCTTCTCCTATACCCACATGAGGCGACCATTGAGAACATCTACCATTATTGGGAAAGAGTCTGCCTTGTAGATATTGGCGAACAGGCTGTTATTCCAGAAGGGATCAGCAAGCATGTAAATGCGAGCAAGTATTTGATTGCCGGTGGAGTTGCTGGCGCAACTTCTCGTACGTCAACTGCTCCTCTTGACCGTCTCAAAGTGGTAATGCAAGTCCAGACAAAGAGTTCTCAAATTATTCCAGCAATAAAGGATATTTGGAGAGAAGGACGTTTCTTGGGGTTTTTTAGAGGCAATGGGTTAAATGTGATGAAGGTTTGTCCTGAGAGTGCTATCAAATTTTATGCCTATGAGGCACTTAAAGATCTCATTGTAACTGCCCAAGGTGAAGAAAAGAGAGACATTGGTGCTTCTGGGCGCCTAATAGCTGGTGGCCTTGCAGGTGCTGTTGCACAAACTGCTATTTACCCTTTGGATCTCATAAAGACGCGGTTGCAGACTTATGCCTGTGATGGTGTAAAAGTTCCAAAGCTGAGTACTTTGTCAAGAAATATATGGGTGCAAGAAGGACCTCTGGCCTTCTACAGAGGTCTTGTGCCCTCTCTACTGGGGATAATCCCTTATGCTGGATTGGATCTTGCAGCTTATGAAACCCTAAAAGATATTTCTAGATCATATATTCTTAAAGATAGTGGTAAGGGGCTCTGGTAAACTTATTCTCTTGCCCTTTTTTTTTTAATGTTTATATGATCAGTATATTTTCTTGAGATGCTTCAAATCCCTCACATGTTTAGAGAAATTATTCTGTGCGGACTCCGAATGTAGAGGATCGTCTGGATGTTGCGTATGGACTGCTTATGGACTGCGTATGAACTGAGTATGGATTGTATATTTACCTTGTATTTGTAGATAGGCAGCAAATACTAAGCCAATCATTAGTTGTGAGTATTCACTGAATATTTAGTGAGTATTTGTTGAATATCTACCAATACGCAGTCCATACTCAGTTCATACGCAGCATCCGGACGAACCTCTACGTTCGGAGTCCGCACAGAATAATTTCTCCACCTTTTTATATGACGATAGCGACCAATACTACCTGGAAAGCAGTTGGTGGACTCTTTGCATGAATATATTCTTGAACATATTCTAAAGTATTTAATTATGATGTAGAGCCGGGTCCTCTTATACAATTGGGTTGTGGAACAATATCTGGAACTCTTGGAGCAACATGTGTTTATCCCTTGCAGGTTATTAGAACGAGGTAATTCATACTTTCTCTTTGATTTGCGTTTATATTTTTTGGATTTTCCTCCCTTCTGTTTTTTCCTACTAGCGTTATCACTCTACAGAATGCAAGCTCAACGTACTGATTCAGCCAGTGCTTATAAAGGAATGTCGGATGTATTCTGGAGAACCTTCCAGCATGAAGGGATTTCTGGATTCTACAAAGGATTGTTTCCAAATTTGCTCAAAGTGGTTCCTTCAGCAAGTATTACCTATCTAGTTTATGAAACAATGAAGAAAAACCTTTCCCTTGATTAGGAAAGTATTAATCTTTTCAGCCATTAAAATGATCTGGCTGACTATAGAGTATGACGAAGCTAACGAGGCTGAAATAGGTGAGGGGATTGGTCTTTTCATTAGTTATGTAACATGGAGGTTAAGTTCTGACCATAACATCAAACATCTGCTTACCAGATTTTTGTTTTGCAATCTTCTTTTGAAATCAATAAAGTTTCCATTGTGAAGTTGATCTTGAAGTAGTACTGCAGTAGTAGTCTTTCTGACTTATTTTTCTTTCTGTTAATGTTTGATTTATGTTTTCTGAAGAAAGGAAAATATTACTTAGGCATGATTCTAAATTGTTGTCTCTCTGCAAAACTATGAGAAAAGATATAACTTTGTTTTTATGTTCTCTTGCATGTTTATTTGCCTTATATTCGCAACTTTATTACTGATTGAAGTTACAAATTTGACATGGGAATTGCTTCCGAAAAGTTCTCTCGAGATTTAGACTTCGTTTGGGACGGCTTTCTTACTACTTCTTAAAACAATTTTTTAGTATAAAAATTAGTAAAAACTGCTAGGAGAATTTTGAACATTGGACATCGGCTGGAGGAAGGCCATAGATGCTGTTCAAGTTGGGGGAGTTGCCCCTATCGCAGCTGCCACTGAAGGTGGGTAAATTGTAAGCTGCATAAGAAGCCTGTTGTTATATTGATTCAAATCTCAAAATTTATAACCATTGGAAATGTAATTTGAGTTTTTAAAAGAGCAATTCAAAGATAAATTTATAATATCATATTTTGATTTCCTGAACTCTATCTTGTTTAAGCCTTTGTAGCAATTTCATGTTAGATTATAGGGCTATCAATCAGGATTTCTAGGCAACAATTGTATGAGATTTTGATTATTATAAAGGGGAATTTTAAGTGATTTGATGTAATGTCTGTTATTATGAGTTTGTTGCTGTATGAGGACAATTAGTATTGTATTGATTTGAGCATTGACATGGTTAAATGTTTGGTCTATGATTTTATAATGAAAGTCATAATATGATTGTAGGAATACATCATAACTTTTGTCATAACAAGATTGCCTTAGTTATTATATTATGCAACAATAATTATTTAACTTAATTTACAAATACTATTCATATCTTTTTGCATGTCTAAACATAAATAAACTTTTCAGTAACTCTTATTACTGCCAAAGAAATAGAGAGAATGAGAAAAAAAAAAAAATCCTATCAAGTAGTTTTTTCCCCCAAAAAACAACAGTTTTCACGAAATTTTATTTTCTAGGCCTTAAAAATACAGTTTACAAAGCATTTTGTCCAATTCTGTAAACGTATCTCAACTTAGGCTCCATCTCTGGAGAGATTATTTTGTGCGAAGTGCAGACAGAGTTATATTTGAACTATGACTGTACATAATATATACACTATATATTATATTTTTATACACAGTATATATATTACTCTGTATGAATTCCGCACAAAATAATTTATCTTATTTATTACAGCTTTCTTAATACTTCTTAAAATAACTTTTTCGTTAAAATTTTTTAATTTTTATAAGAAAATCATTCCGAATGAAACCTTACCAGACAGATTTCAATAGAAATGAAAAATAATAAAAGCACCATCACCAGAGAGGGATAACAGCACAAAAACTGGCTCAAAACCTCCTTAAAACTATGAAAATGGTACACACAACAATTATTTAATATGTATCATGATCCTGCATTAAGTACAGGACAAGTCTGCAATCCTAATCTTACTAATTTAAATAAACATTTTACACTCCTAATACATTTTGACATGAGGCCCTAACAAAATTCATTTCTTCCCAATCAATCCTTCCGTAAGAAAAAAAGGAACCTTATGAAAATTTCAATTAGAGCTAATACATATTTTATTTTACATTGGGATTTAAATTAACAAGGCAGAAAACTAGCAGTGCTGCTTCATTTGCCTTTAAAACAGTTCTCAAAAAAGAAATAAATAAATAAATGAAAAGCAGCAACAGATTGCTCAAGAATGGAGTTCTTCCCTTACAAGGCTAGATTTCTGACTGATAATTCCTTCAGAGTGGTGATTGTTCTGTGAAAAAGCTTTAGATTGTGCCCAATTTTATCCTGCATGAAAAATAAAATAAATGAACAGAAATTGATAATCATTCAACAGCTTGCAGAAAATAAAAAACTTTAATGATTAAATTAGTTACCTCTCTTAATAGTTCCAGTTTTTGCAAATTTGGGTGCAACTTTTCACATAGAAAGGACAAATCTCCCAAGTCTGAGTTACTGCAAGAGTGGTGGAGTTTGCTTAAAACGGAAAATGACAATACATATAAAAAAAAAACTTTTGTAAATATAATTTTAAGTATGGCGTCGTGGAATTCTAAAGTTGGAATTTTTAGGAAAGGTAAATAGGATTAACATATTATTAGCTAAGGGGCTATTTGAAATCACTTTTAGTTTTCTATTATATAAATGTAATATATTTGATATGATAAATAAATATAATAAAAATAAGAAAATTTAATAGAGGATTGAGTAGAAAAATCTAATACTAATCGAATACGGCTAATAACATTATTATTGAAACAAGATATATATATATATATATATATATATTATGCGATAATGATGGCAGCCAAAGAAAAGGGCTTTGGTGGCTGTATAAAATGCATTAGATAGCCATACCCATCTTGTAAATGAATAAGAAGGATGCTGAAGAGACATTCAGCAAGTTGAAGAAGAAGGATGATGAGCTGATCCCTATTCCCAGCCATGTGACACATTTCTACCATCGCAATGTACCTCCTGAGAAAGTACAGGTAGAATTAAAATAACATTGTAGAAGTCAGAGCATCTGAATTAAATAAAAGAAAGGCTAGAACAAGATGGATCCAAATTCTAGGGAGATGATGAGATGCCTAGATAGTATGTAGTAAATATAACGAAGAACTTTATGTTGTTGTAAGGGGACATTATTTTCATTAGTCATTTGTACATGCTAACCTTAAACCAAACCCGACTGAGCATTGAAATCCTCTATATACATCAATGTAGATGGATTTCATTTACTAGGTTATTAGAGATGTTTTCCTAGATGCTTGTATATTTTATAAATTACCCTAACATACAAACAGAAAATTTATGTTCATATTCAAATGTCATATGATGCGTTAATTGTCTTGCCTAGTTAATCGTTTCATAAACTAGATATTTTGGAATGAAACATGTGATGCATAAATTGTACTTCACCGGCCTCCTGGTTCATTGCTCAATGAACATCCTAAGTTCAGTAAAAAAAAAAACTATCTGATTTTTTTTTTTGGGACATTTAGGTCAATCAAGACAAACTAACACACACATCACATTCGCAAGACTCGAACTTAAGACCTCTTGGTTGGTAGCCAAAGCTCCCAACCAACATTCCAAGATGAGCTGTGTAAATACAAAAGGAACTGTAAGAAGATTATGATTAAAGTGCATATTGGTAAGCATTTAAGCTATTGAATCAACAAACGTTAAGAAAAAAAAGTAATTTACCATGAAAATGCAAACATGGTTACCAAAAAAAGGGCTCAAAAGTAAAAGGCAAAAAAAAAAAAAAAACCCATCTAGTGAAAAATGTACTTACCTTTTCCGAATATTATCACTAGGAGAGAGATAATCTTGTCTCATGCAAACATTAATAATCTCATCAACCTCCTGCCTTGATAATTCATTGATGTTCTGAATCTGAAGGGAGGCAGACAAACGAATGATCAACACTTGCAATAACATCATCATATAGTATCATTCTTTTACAGGGGATTTTATTTTCTGTGAAGCTGTATGAATTCCATCAATCATAACAAATAAAGGTAATGCTTAGATATCCAAAATACACATGCATCAATATGAACTCATGGGGTTTGCACCGTTTAAACTTTCAACAACCCTAGCTAAAGAAAAATTGAACAAATTAAAATACGATTAATTCCAATGGTCCAAAATACCTTATTGAGCAGTAAAAACTTTTCTTCAGCAGCCCTCACCAAGGCTATCGTCAAAGAATCAAGAAGATGCGCTAAGGCAAGTAATGTAGGTTGCTGCTGGTTTACCGATTCAGCAAGACCACCAGGGCTATCTGAGACCTGTCAAACATCACAGTTGTGGAGCAAAATAAAAGGTTAAGCAAAATAATGATAAATAATAATAGTAATTATTGCCTACTGGATACGCAAAAATAATCATTATTATTTGAATGATTAAACTTGAGAAAAATGAAGAAGACGTGCAAAACATCTAAAGCTTCAGATGCAACCATATCCCAAGACATGCGAAACATCTAAAGTGGTTTGGCCAACAGTAAACCAACGGGGAAAGTATCACCGGCAAATTAACCAAAAAGCTTTCAAATAGGTTCAGTAGAGTCCCAAAATATATTATTAATTTAATTAATAAATATTAAATTAAAATTGCCATTGAATAAACTATTATAAATAATTTAATACTTAATTAAGTCCTGCTAGCTTAAAACAAATAATTCATTACTTTAGTTATGTAGAACAACAACAACATCAAGCCTAACTTGCTCTGATATTAAATTACTGCAATAAAAAATTTGGGAGAGGGCCCCAAATTTTTTATCACAAAAACACAAACAACTTCCTATATAAAAGAAAACACAAAATGCACAAAAAGAAGAGATAACTTAGAAATTTTAGAACAAACTCTTACATTTCATATAAATGAACACTTTTATAAATAAAGACTTACAACTCTTAAAATTAAACGACTTACAAACAAAGACTCTAACAAGACACCCTAAACTCAACTAATAAATGAGCTAACCTTTAGTTCAATAAATGAACTAAAAACCAGCTCATAAATGAGCTAAATTCCAGCTCAAATTTTATTGAGCTTGTAAGCTCAAGGGAAGTCAAAACCAACTTATTTTGGGTTTGAGTTGACCCCCCCTTTGCCTATATCAATAACCATCCCTAATTTGCGTATGTTAATGCAATGAGCATTACTCACCTCCATACGACCATAAGGATTCTATGATATCAAATTTTGCACGGGCATATGAAATTTTTTTAAAGATAAACGAGAACAAAAGAGACCCAACATATATGATAAATAAAAGACGTGCTTGTGAAGGTGCATAAACAAACAAGGAAGTTGATGACCTTTTCGAATAGGTTTTTGGTTCTAGTGTAAAGAATAAACAACAAATTGAAAGCATAAAATATACTTTAATATTTAAAGAAACAAAACTATAACCCACCTGCAACCTGATGAGCTTCTTAGTTATCAGAAAATAAAGATACGAGAGAAGGCTAAAGCATAGTCTGAACATGATCAGCTCTGAGTTCCTTCTGTTCTGCATATCATAAACAAGTTTCATAATCAGGAAAACTACCAGTAATAAAAGCATGCTACCAGCATATATTTTCGCATATATGTTACCACAACCGAATCTGATAATCGACCAAAATCAGTAGAGCCAATATCAAGTTGAAAAACAGAAATCATCATGCTGAAAAGCCCTTGGAGGAAACCATGTTCATCATTCTCTTCATAAGGCCAAATCTTCATGATAACAAAAGTTGCACAAAGTAACAGTAATGTTAGTTGCTAAACAATGTGAACATATATTGTGAAATATAGATTGAAAGAAACCACAGGAAAATGTGTTGCATACCCTGCTAAGTATTGAGACAACAAGATTAATCCGTTCCAAAGTGCCTTCATCAGCTACAGAGATGTCTTCTCTTAGAATATGATCAAAAACTAACTGTTGGGACTTGACAAAATCCAAAACCTCCCGTACGATTTTATTCTTAACCTATGAGCAACAAATGAAAAGAAGTTTAAATAAAATACAAATTTTAACATCATCAAAAGTTCTCATTTTGAAGTGCAGGCATGAGCCGCAAAAATGATTTTGGAAAAGCAGAAGTTGGTTGCTTCCATGTCCTCCTCACATAAATCACACAAAGCATAAAGTAAAGGGGAATAAAAATTTAGTCAGGATCAATAATCAGAATAAATAAATAAAAAGTTATTAAAAAATTTGAAAAAAAGTGCTGTCGGGCGGCTAAACAAAATCAGAAAAAAAAAAAAACAGATCGAAGATAATTTTTTTCTATGTTGTTGAAGAAAAGAGCTGGGATCGCTTATTTAGCTGATTTTCATTTCAAAAAATCCTTACCGAGTAAGAATTACCATTATCTATATACTGCGGTTTAATACACCTAATACGACTTCCAAGAGTAAAGCATCATGGTAGGCAATTTAGCACCGCACTACTAAAATGAGAATTTGCAAAAAAGCAACCCAATAAAAAAATACATACAAATAAACTGCTCTATTCCATTATTCAAATGTGCATTCATTCTCGACGTGCATGCCTAAGAACATAAAAACATAGTGTACATGCAAAAGTCAGTAAATGATCTTTACATGAAGATGATCAAAGAAAAAAATTAGGAATGTTTGAAACCTAAATTCCAGTGCCACGGCATATATGGTTGCACTTAAACATATGTAATTGAGTCAAGCTCGAGGTAGGGAGATCAGGCTCCACCAATTTTGAGAGGCTGAGGTTGAAATCAAATCAAGCCTGACCTTGAGGTTCAAGCTAGACTTTCCTCACTAACTCAATGAACTTGAGAAGTTTGAAAGTGCAGAATAGGAAGACATGAGGTGATGTTCATGATGAAATAATCTAGTCAAGGAGAATGACATAGCTGAGATATGTTTTGCCCTTTATACAGAGTTCTCCTAGAAGAGAAGGGTGTTTTGTAGGCAAGAACCTTTTCCCAACGAAGAAGAAATTGGATCTCTACTCCAAAATAGATGGACACAGACCACGCTGCAAATTAGATGGAGCCAAGGAGGAGAAAAAGGTGGATCTCCACTCCATGATGCAATTGAGATCCAACAAAATAAAGATGACAAGGTGGTTAAATCATGATCCAAATTGAGGGAAAAAAGAGAGGTAGTGCAGGCCACTCCTTTTGGTGTGAAAGATTTGCTGGTAAAATGATTGTGTAGTAAATGGGAAGCTCAGAGAAAAGAAAAAATATAACTCAGTTAAAGATAATCAAGGAAAACCATTTTTTAGGAATAAAATGAGAAGATGTGGACAGAGTGATTACACTCAGTTCTTCATGCTACAAACTTGTTCAAGCAAGGTGAACACTTCTTGATGTTCTACACGTTCCCAAGGAGTTCCGAAACATTGGAGGGGCTGTTACTGGGTGAAAGCTTGGATTCGCCCTGCATGGGGATCTCAAATGGCACAAGGAGAAAGAGATGGACAGAGTTGAGGAAATCCACTTGATTTTCATTCATCTAATTATGTGTACAAGGGAAGATATCAAAGAAAATAGCAGGAAAAAATTCCAACAAATCTAAATAAAACAAAGTTAAAGATATTGTAATACCCAATTTTCAAAAGATAAAAATATAAAATTTTCTCAATTAAATTATATCCGAAATAGTAACTTTCACGAAAATCATAAAAAAATCATTCCGTAGTATTCAACTCGTTAATTGAAGCAAATTAATATATAGAACTATATACTAATTTGTAAAGGTGTGGAAGTTAATGAATTAGTTTTCATTTACATTTTTTTCTTTAAGTTTTAAATTCTTTTTAGTGTTTATTAATAAAAGTTACTGTACAAGTGTATATGACAGAGTTAAAAATTTGGAAAATCCACTTAGAACGTCATGCAGTGGTGTAGGCTGTAGGTATTATAGGTATTATGCATATGAATTAAATACTAGCCTATTCTTCTTGAGCCGAAACTACATTTTAGTTGCTGGCTCTCAGTTTGGACTAGCCTGCAGTTGTTGTTGTCTACTAGTCTGACTCTAGATTTTAGCTTTGAGTCGTTTACTAGTCTGCTTATTCACTAGTTTGACAATTACTATCCTACAATCGTTGTTGTTTTGACACTTATTAGCCATCAGTTATTTTTTTATTCTAACTTTCAGTAGTGTACTTATTGTTTTGTGTTCGTAGTAGTGCTTGTAGTTTTCTTTTACCCCAATAACTTATCTTTCTATTTTAGCCTTGTTGTTTGTTCAGCACATGCTTTTCTTTACTAGCACTATTTTATTTTACTATATTGTACTAATACTCTACTTGCTTACTAGCAGGTACATAGCACCTGCAACAGCTGCAGGAGCTAGGAGCTTTGAGAGTTTGAGTCTGTGAGTTGTTGTTGGAGATTTAGTAGCTTATACTTAGGTTGAATAGTATGAACATTGTTTTGTTATTACTTAACGCATTTTATTTCAATTTGAATTAATGACATTACTTAGTTAATTAAGAATTTTAATTAAAGTTTAAATTTAATTGCTCAGCTCATTAACATATTTTAAATGTATTTTAAAATTATTTAATTATTCAAAATTAAATTGGTTGCACAATTTAAAAGATTTAAATTCAATTAATTTGAAGTTTTAATTATTAAAGTTTTGATTTTAATAAACTTTAACTTAATCTTTTAATAATTAGTTATGTAATTATGTTAGTTTTAAATCAGTTATTAAAAGATCTTATTTTAATTAATTTAGTTTAGTTAAATGAAAGCCCATTAATTAATTGTTTAATTTAATTAAAGTTTTAATTTCAATTATATTTTTAAATTAATCAATTATTTAGTTAATTGGAGATTTTAATTAAATTAATTAAGTTAATTAGATCTTTCAATTAATTATATTTAAATTTAATGAATTCATTAAATTGGTTGTTTAATTAATTAAGCATTTTGATTATTAAAATCATCCAATTAATCTCCAAAAGATACTTGACAATCTATTGTCATAGTTTCGCCGATCTCATGAGGCGATTTCGACAACCTCTTAGCATCCCCTCCCTGCGGGGAGAGGTTAGGGAGGGCACTTGCCCTTTCAGGTTAGCTCAGCCGGATCAAATCGACGGCGAGGTCTTTGGGGGAGCGAATCAACCCCGGAATTGATCTTCAACTCTTATGTTTGTAATTTGGCATTTTCCCCTAATTTTATTAGCCTTCCGACGCTCCCTTCCCACGAGAAGAGATTGGGAGAGGGCACTTGCACTTTTGGTCAACTTGGCTGGATCAGATAAACAGTCAAGGGCTTCGGAGGAATGAATCGACCCCGAAATTGGTATTCAATTCCTCTAATAAGCGGTTGCAGTACCTGTTTAAAATTTGACATATCTCTAGTATTTTGGCAGCCTAACTACGCCGCCTCCCTGCGAGGGGAGGTTGGGGAGGGCAATTGCCTTTTTAATCCGCTCGGCCAAATCAAATCGACGGCCAAGGGGTTTGGGGGACATATCAACCCTGGAATCATCTTCGACTCCTTCAATTTGTCAATCATGAACTCCGATTTGTTGACCGCGATGCTTCCTCTCTTTTCTTTTCTTATTATTTATAACAATAATAATAATAATAATAATAATAATATGAAATCTTTCTCTCTCACTCACTCACTCACTCCTTCAATTTGTTGATTGGGTTTCGTTTACCTATGCGTGGTTCTGTTCACATAAGGAAGTGGGGCTTGGATGTGGGTTCCGCTTAAGCAAGGCGAAGTCGACAGAGGGTGGGTTCGCTCACGCGTGGAGGTCGGACGCAGAGAGCAGGGCCATGTGACTTGGTTGCGATTGGCATAGATGGGAGTTGCTAGAGGCGGCTTCGATTGCGAGTGTGTGCGGCTTTCTCGTGTGGAACAGAGCAGGTGCGACGGGTTGGGGCCGATGCTCGGTTTCATGCGGGTGATGTCAAAGAAGAATGAGAGAGAGAGAGAGAGAGAGATCAACTTCCTTCTGCGGTTCCTAAGAGACGAGCAAAAGAGTTGGGTGAGAGCTCCTTCGGCATGCCTGAGTTCGAACGCCTAGAGTTTCTGTTTGCATGTCCGTTTCAAGCTCAAAATAAAGTATATTATAATTACATACATATTTAACTAATTGAAAACATTCCAAAAAGAAAATCAATGAGCAATGAATTATCAACTATTTTTTTCTTCATATACATGCATTGAGCTTGCCTTTTTTATTAATATATGAACTATTTATTTACTAATTAAAGAATTGATTAGAAATTCCTAAGCCTAAAAGAGTGTCATGTTAGTAGATGAGTGGCAATGTCATGTCATAACATCTACGTAGGTGGGGTAACCGAGATCCCAATGGAGGCATTATGACCTCAATGTAATTAAAGAACGATAATGATAGATTTTAGCTGGGCTCCAATGACACATTCAGTGCTTCTGATGTAGGCCACGTGGTTGGGGGGGGGGGGGGGGGGGGGGGGCGGTGGTTCAAAATATTTTGGATTGTAAAATTGGTGAGCTACTAGTTCTCTACTTAAATCTAGCTTATTAATGCTAATTTATTAGGTTCTTCCCCCTTCTCCTTTGCCCTTTGGTTTCCTATTATTTGTGCTTTTCCCAAAGCTGGATTCATTTCCCCTTGCTGTGCCGTTTGATCTCTGTTTCCTGGCTGCCCGTTGGAATTCCCTGTTTGCCGGTTTTATTCCATGCAGCCCGTTGGGTCTTCTTTGTTTGCCGGTTCTGTTTTGGCTGCTGTCCCGTGAATACAACCTGTTTCTGAGAGGATTTTTAGGATGAATTTGGCTGATTTTTGGGATGTCTTTTCAACTATTGTTTGGAATGTCCTTTGGCCTCTCATTTACTGATTTATGTGCAGTTTTTTAGGGCTGTTTTAGTGTGTTTTCTTTGCAGTTTTGGGGGGCTGCTGTGGTGTCTTTTGGCCTTCTATTTCCCCTTATTTATTAGGTTTTAAATAAGATTTTAGGGGCTGTTTGGCTGCCCTCTTTCTCCTATAAATACAAGGTGTTTTGTATGAATTAAAAAAAGTTATGATGGTATTTTTGGAACTAGAAACCTGAGGGTTTTCCATCCTTCTTTGGAAAAGCTTGCGAGCTTGTTCCGTTCTTCTCTTCTCCTCTAGGAAAGCTTTCTTTGTCTATTCTTCTAACCTCGTTCTTCTCTCCGTAAGTGACCACCCCACCTGTATCCTTCTTCTCAACGATTGGCAAGCAACTTTAGGTGTTTAAGGTGTCTTTATTTTGTCGTTTGTAAGCGTCAAAGGTTTGTAAGTCTTTTAAATTATAAAAGTGAAGTCGTTTTTGTTTTGAATGTTGTATTTAGTCTAGCTGATGCAATCAAAAATTTGGGAGAGGGACCCAAATTTTTTATCACAAAAAACAAACTCTTTCTAGAGAATAAAAAATTACAATAACTCACAAAAATTAGACTAATTAGACAAAACAAACTTTTTATATCATATAAAGACTTACAAACTTTTGACTCTTACAAACGACTCTTACAAGACACCTAAATTTGCTTTGCCTTGAGAAGAAAGATACAGATGGAGTGGTACTTGCGGAGAGACGAAAGAGATTAGAAGCCCGAGAGGAAAGAGGAGAAGCTCGCAAGCTTTCCTAGACAAGGAGAGGAAGAAGTGGCATAGCTCGCAAGCTATCCAAGAAAACCTTCGGGTTTCTTTCCAAAAATCATTCATATAACATATATCCCATTCTATGTCAAAGCATTTCATATTTATAAGCAAAGAAGAAAGCCCAACAGCCAATGCACCCATAATTCCCCCAATAAGCTTTAGGGATAGGAAAAGCCAAAAGACACACATCAGTTCCAAAGCAGCAGCCAGCATCCTTCCAGAAAACAGAGAAGAAACAGAACACGGGACCAACAGCTAGCCACGGAACAGCCAGAATTCACGGGAAAAGCACCGAAACATTAAAGGAACAGCAGGCCCAAGGAATCCAGAAAACGAACAGGCACCCCAAGCAGCCACGGCTGCATAAATTCCAGCCAATTCCTCTCCCAATGCCACAAGACACAGCTCTCCAAACAGCCATAAAAGGAAGAGAAAAAAGAATAGGAAAAGGCAAGTTCCACTCACCAAAATCTGCCATAAAGTAGTACTAAAACTTCAGCTTATAATGAGCTCAACTTCTACTAGATATTAATGAGCTTGTACCAACAAAAAATTCAACAACTAAAGCTCAAAACCGAAATCAGCCAAGACTTCATAGAACTAGAAAACAACCCAAAAGAGGGGGGGAAGGTGAAAAGACACAAGGCAAGAAATTAAGAAAAACTCAACTTGTGTTGACCCCCCCTTTGCCTACATCACTAGCTTTTGGGAGGCTTGTGTATCTTCTATTATCTTGGAAAGTTAAGTCATTTGCTCGCAAAAATTTGGGGCTTTTCTCAAATTTTTGCTTGCATCAGCTTCAAATGAGATGAGAGATGAAAAAGAACATAAGTACTAAATAAATTCAAAGTGTGATGTTTAAATCACTAAATGATATGATATTAGTCTATCTATAACACTGCAACAAACATTTTGTTATTATTAGTTGATATGAGCATGTACATATGCTAGTTTGTTTTATAAACAACTTGTGAATTTAATTCAATCATACATACATTCATATTATTCGCTATATTATTTCCTTTGAATTATGTATTAGAATTGCATTTTTTTTAGCCTAGTAACACACCAGAATTTTATTCTGGTTGTTACAAGAAAGGGCAATGATAAGATGGAACCCGAGTAAATTCAGGTCAATTTAAAACTTAGATTTTGTTGTATAGCTGTGTACAATGAGTCTTGAGCAGAGGTACGTGGGTTGGTTATTATAATAATGTTTTGGGTTGTTGCTCTATAATTATATACATATGATATAAATGAAATATTTTGAATACTTTTGTATTATGAATTAATATGGTGAAATATGACATGAATATATTTGGAATAATAAGTTAGAAATGTTGAGGAATCCTATATATTTCTCTATTGCACCCTACATCGATTGGTAGGAGGTCGGCGTGGGGTGTGACAAATATAATCAAACCCTCCTTTATCTTTGCTAACTAATAGTTCTATAAGGAATTTGAATGCAGATTACGAAGCTATATATGGAGAACCTTTCCTTGCTTGAAAAGGTAACAAATCAGTCCAAGGCAGTCCAAAACCATCTCATAGTAACAGCATCCTTTTTAGCAACTAAGATTAAGGGCCCCTCATAAGTTCTTGAGGTTCGTGAAAGCCTCCTAGAAGATTGGATAGTGGATCAAGAATTAAAGAAGTGAAATCTGCGAGGAATAGATGGTTCTTTCAAGGATTTGATTCTATTTACATTAAAAAATCAGAATATACAGTATTTGCAAATAAATTACTCTGATTGCATAAATCAAGTTGGCACATCCAACCAAGAAGTGGAGTAAATGAAGGATCAACTTAACCAAAAGGTGTCTATACCTTCAACTTACTTAGCAACAAGCATGACCTATCAGCTTAATTTGTCAAGCTCATGAGTCATTTATCAAGTCGATAAAAAAATGGCTTGTAAGCCACTAAAACTAACTTACAAAGTTAAATCTACTCCAAATAAATCCAACACTATAACTTTTGTTAAAAGATATTATATTACAACAAATTATGCTAGGGTTCATATTGCTGGGTAATATAATCTAGCAAATTATACATACAACAACAAAAACAAGTCTTTATCATACTACGCAAGGTCAATAACATTAATTCTTTTTCTACATTGTATCATGTTAAGAGTTAAATTCTCATTTAAATTTAATAAATAAAGGTCAATCATAATACTTACTAATCAAGTCTTTTTAGGTCTACCTCTACCTTTCTTAAAAAAATGTCCAATCTAATACATCTACTCTACTAATCGGGTCATTGGAAGGCTGACATTTTATATGACCAAACCATCTAAGGCGACTCTCTCTAATATTATTTACCACCGAAGCAAATCAAACCTTTGCAAGTATATACGCATTTTGCTTTTTGTCTCTAAGAGTAAAACCACTCATCCACATGAACATCCACATCTCTGCAACACTTAACTTAATTTTATGCTTCTCTTTCAATGAAAAACATTATGTGCCATAAAGCATTGCAGGTCTCATCACTATCTTATAGAAATTTTCCTTGAGTTTGAGTGGTACTTTTCTATCACACAACAAGCCTAATGCATTCCTCCACTTCAACTATCCAACTTGAGTTCTACTAATAATATCCTCATCTATTTCACCGTCGAATGCATTCCTCCACTTAAACTATCCAACTTGAGTTTTAATAATAATATTTTCATCTTTTTCACCATCACTTTGAACAATAAACCTGAGATATCTAAAACGTGTACTTTTTTTAATGACTTGATCGCCCATAGTCACAATCCTCCCACTAGATCTATTACTATAAAAATTACATTCCATGCATTCAGTTTTAATACCTTTAGACTCTAAGGTTAACCTCCATAATTCAAAATTTACATCAACTCATTCTCTAGTCTTATCAGCAAGAAAAACATCATTAGCAAAAAGCATACACCGGGGTACACCCTCTTGCAAATGTCTATTAAGAACATTCATAACTAAAGTAAAAAAGAAATGAGCTTAAAGTTGATTCTTAATGTAATCCAACAAAAATAGAAAAATAATTAGTCAAACCACCTTGTGTTTGAACACAAATAACAACACTGACATACATATCCTTAATGCCTTGAATATAAGCATTATTAACTCTTTTCTTTTCTAGAACTTTTCATAGCACTTATGTTGGAACGTTATCTAAATCAATAATATTATATGAAGACCCTCCTTATTCCCTCTGTACTTCTCCATTAAATTTCTCAATAAATGTATAGCTTCCATAGTAGACCTACTCGGTGTGAATCCAAATTGATTTTGAGAAACATAAGAATCATGTCATAACCTATGCTTAGCAACTCGCTCCAATAGTTTTAATGTATGACACACTAACTTAATTCCTCAATCATGCACACAATCGTGCGCGTCACTTTTATTCTTAAAAATAGAAACCAACACACTCATTCACTCATCTGACATCTTTAAGTCTTCAAAACAATATTTAAAAGTTTTGTAAGTCAAGAAATTACTTCATATCCTAAATATTTCTACACTTTTATTGGAATATCATCTGGTCTATCAATATTTTCACACTTCATTTTCTTTAAGGCCTCTCTAACTTCAGTTTTATTAATATGATGATAAAAACAAAAACACACTATTTTTATGTTGTGTGCTATGGTCACTAAAGCCAATCTTATTATCACAATCTTCATTGAAAAGCTTATCGAAATATTTCATGCACCTACGTTGAATATCCTCTTCTAATAAAAGCACTTTTTTATCGTCATTTTTAATGCACTTCTCTTGAACTAAATCCTCACTTATCTTAATTATCTCTTTGCTTGGCTAACAAACATACATCTTTTGCCCTTCTAAGTATCTAATTCATTATATAAATCATTCAAAACGAGAAGCGATGCAAATAATCTAGCTAATTATACATAATCTACAAAAAAACTCAATTGATTTATTCAATTCAAAAAGCCATAATAATAACAAAATTAACTAGTACTAATAATTATAGAGGAATCAAACAGTTGAAGCGTAGAATGATTAAAAAAACCTCAAGAAATTCTGAGGAATCCACAAGTGATGTCAAACTAGAAACCAATCTCAGTATTAGCGTCACAAGCAGATGCTGCTTATCACCCTCTCCGGTGAGACCTTTTCTTAATATGGTACCATTCTTCTTTGCAAGTCCCTGTAAATACAAATACAAATTTGGGTAGCTTGAAAGAAACATAATGACAAACTTAGATTATACCAAACTTAAAAATAACCTTATTTTGCAAATTCATGGCCCTGCATGAACCAAGATGCTCCAAAGCACCGGTGGATAACAGAATTTTAGCACCATGCCTATTGTACTTGTGGCTGATCCTCAACAGAAAAGCTATTTGTGCCTCAAGGGTGCAAAAACGTTGCAAAGATTCAAAGGAACGTCGACTATCCTATAAAAGATACACAAGATAGTCAAAATTCAGTAAAAAAAATCCCCATGATGCCATGAATGCCACCAGCTGTATGCCTGTATCCAATTGATATCGTAAGACAAGGAGAACGGAGATCATTTCACTTGATAAATGACTTAAAATATAAATCATTTTATTTCACGACTGGAATTAGCCTTCTCCAAAGGCTTTGAGTTATAAACAAACTCTAAAGCAAGTAGTTTACAATATCAACTTCAGTTTCAGTCTAGACTCTATAATGAAAGCTCCAGTTTCAAATAGTTTTGGTATTCAACTGCAGTTTAAGTTTGGGCTATTTTTATTGTTTCAAATAGTTTCGGCGTTTACAAAATTATATTCGAATATTTCCTTCATGAATCTTAGTTTCTAAGATGTGAAAAAACTTTTCAGGATTAGGTAAAGCTGGTAACACGTCAATCTTTACTACATTTTATGTCTAAGCCCAATCATACGCTCAAGGATCCACATCCTGACAGTTGTCTTCCTAGTTAAGGATGTAGCTTAGGTGATGCAGACATCCAACCGTCCATGTCTATCCGAGGAGGAGCTAAATATCGACGGTCGTGATCGTCCTATGTTATCTTAAATTTTTATTTGTAATTTTTATTTAATTATGCATTTTCCATTTTTACCCTTACTTAAGGGTCTAATATTATGTAAGCCCTAGGGGCATGATCGTCTTATTTTAGTTTCTTTTATTTCTGAGGCCTATATATAGAGGCCTTTGCTAGTGTAATGGTATGATGAAATTATAATAAAAAAAATTGTGTTACTGCACTTGAGTTCTTTTGGGAGGATATAGTGAGATTCCTATGGAAGGGAATCAGATCTTCCACCAGCCACAGGATGGGTCCGAGCTCGTGGCTTAAAGTCCTTTGGTGAAGGGCAACACATCAACCGTCAGTCCTCGGAAGAGTCCAAGGCTTGCGATCCTATTTTTTTTTCTTTGTTTTGTTTTTCCTTATTTTCCTAAACCACCACCTCCTCAAGCCCTCCACCAAGGCGCCGATCTTCTCACCCCATCACCTCCACACCATCGGCCTGCACCAGCTCCTCCCTTCCTCCTCCCTCCTCTTGGCCGAAATCCACCAAGGCTCCACCCACCCACCGACCTCCTCCTTCCCTAATCCCACTTCCCTCCAAAAATCCCTCTTTTCTTATTTAAGTTGACATTAATTTGGAAAGATTTTAAATTCAAATTAATCTAATTTGAATTGCAAATACATCCTCATTAATCACATTAATTTTGAAAACTTCTTTCATTCAATTAATTAATCAATTTTGAAATTGATTGGTTAATTAATCCCTAGCCCAAATACATTGAACTTAGAAGCCCCTATTCCCCCCTCTCTCTATTAATCGGCCCCATATCCATGCCGTCTTTAAATTCTCTTCAAAATTTGGCCCCAATCCTCTCTTGCTTGGCCGGCCCCTCTCCTTTGCCTCCAAATTTCGAATTACTCCTTAATGTTTTCCTTATGGGATGCAAATCACAATAGGAAAGCAATAAAATCTGCTTTCTTTAATTTGAAATTTGAAATTTTTTCCATAATCTACCTTATTTTATTTTAGGAAAGTTATTTAAACCAAACCTATTTGAATTTTAAATAGGTTTTGATTTAAATCAATCTTTCCTCATTTAAGATTCTTAATAAGGCAAGCTGTAAATCCCCACCCCAAGCTCTACTTGCACCCAACCATGCCACCGGCCCTACCCGCTCCCATATCCGTTCTACATCATTAGGTATATTTAAAAATTAAAAATTATGAAAATTAGATAATAGGTTATAATTAATCTATATTTATTGCAAATTTTGAAAGAAAGAATGAATTATGCTCCAAATTATGTTCATAAAAAGTAACTTGTATTACTAATTTGTATTATAAACATAATAATATTGCATACTTTAATTTGTTATCATTAGCATTAAGTCAAGAAGCATACTGATATAATTTTGGGTGGGATTATTTAAAGAAAAAACTAAGGAAAATACATTTTCAAAGAAACTATCCTATTATAGTGATTTCTCATATTGTTGAAATAGAATAGTTATCTCAGTAACATTGAAGGTAGTTTCTAGGCTCCGTGGTTTAACATTAGCAATTTTCTGAAAAGGCTCAGCATCAAATATTAGGTATGATAGAGTTCAATCCTCAATTCATATAATTCTAATGGTTCTAGAAGAAGCGAAGTTCTTCTAGCGCTCACAAGAAAGCTACCAAATTTACAGTGAGTTCCATTATTGTTTAATTCTGCGTTCAACTATGCCTTTTCATCTCATGTATAACGTTGAATTTTTCATTGTAGTTCCCAGTGTGCATATGTATTCTCATTTTAGTCCCGTAGGTTCTCTTTATTGTCATATTTCAAGTCCAGAATACAGTTTAAATATGTTCTTCTCAAGTGCATCCCGAGTCCAGAATACATTTTTTATTCTACAAGTTTCTCCTATCTCAGTAAGCAAAACCCGCACAAATTTCACTCATGGATTAAACACATCATAGTCGAAAAAATTGCATTTTATACCTTCGAGCTCAAGTTTGCAATGAAGAGGGAGAAACATCTCTTTTTTTCTCTTTTTCTCTCCTTTGATTAAGAGTAGAATATAAAAGATGTAACCATAAGGATATCATAATTTAAGTGAATATACTACAAAATAATGATAAATATTTTTTAAACAACTAACTTCTAATCGGATGAATTTCTATGATAACAATTAGCAAGGTTGAATTGGCCTAGCTAAGCTTTGCCAAAATCTAACAGCATCCATAAGGCGGTGTATAAGTAAAAGGAAGTGAAACTAACAGGAGTTATAAAAAACATAAGAGAAATGTAAAGATGAGACTGTGCAGTTACAAATAAGAAGCAAATGAATGTATATATGCTGAAGGCCCTCTAAAATTTAATTTAGTTGATTCTCTAGTTTAAGAATTACCTTGTAATTTAATGACAGAACATAACTTCTTACACCATTTAAATGAAGAACTTTTGAGTTAATGCTTAGCATAAACAAAAGATGAACAAAGGATAAATAATTAAATTTGACAATAAAAATCATGAAGGTATGCTCACCTTAAAAACAAAGTTGCTAACGTCCAGTAAAGATGACTTTGGAATTTCTTTGCTCTGAAGAACGTTCAGGAAAAACCTCTCTTGATCAATACTAATAAATACATCTAATACATAAAATGCCATTGCCTTGCACACTTCACTGCCTTCAACCGCATCCTTCGAAACCTTAAATTTTTATTAAAACAGAATTTAAGATTAACAACCGCATCCCAAAATATAAAACTGACAAAAACAAATTATCAATACTTCAGCTATAACATATATATTCAATAGGAATCAACAAAGAAGCTACTTCCAAAAGTCCACAAGAAAGTCACGAGATAAGGAGCAAACAGCCACCATAAATCAAGCAGGTTATACTAGTCCCAAAATTTTGGAGACTCCTATGACTGGAATATCAAGAGGGACGCAAGCAAAAAAGTGATTCCCCATAAAAAGAGGCAAACAATAAAAAGACGCCGCCTCGAGACGGAGGTCGAGCGAATTGAGACTTAAGCCTCGAACGTCTGGGCGAGGCTTACGTCCTTTTCCACGGAGGTGTACGCCTCAAGTCGTGAGGCACCGAGGCGCATCGAGGCAGTGCCTCGATTCATTTTGTCTTTTTTATTCTCCTCGTGTGTGTGCGTTCGCTTATTAGACTTAGGGCTTCTGTTTCGAAGTACTTCCGCCATTCCATTCTCTCTCGCTCTCTCGTGCTTCCACCGACTTCAACAGCCAAGCCAAGTTCAGTCGATCGTTCCTTCGTGTGCACTATTCCCGGTGACTTTGATAGGTAAGTTTGATCGCGTTAGAAGTAAGGTTTCGTTCCTTCCTTGATGTACACTGCTACCGCCAACATCTTTCTTCCCCCATCGTTTTCATCTTCTTCGCATGATTTTCTTCCCATTTAAAAAAATGGATTTTGATTTTATTTAAAATTAACCAATTAGTTGTTTGATCATTTTTAATTTATTAGTTAACTTAATATTATTAATTAATCAATTTTAAATCAAATTGATGAATTGAGCATTTTTAATCTTTTTTCAAAATCCACAAGTCTAATTATTTCTAGGGAATTTCGGCAGCCTCCCAACATCCCCTTCCTGTGAGGGAAGATAGGGGAGGGAACTTGCATATAACATTACATATTCCTCTCCTCACTTATAGTTTTAAACAAAGTAAAAGAACTATCTAGATCATATAGCAGGCAGAACGAGCGACGGTTCATGTGTAAGGCTGAACGAGCGAAAGTGGGACATGGCATGCAGATTACTCACACAGAATCAAAGGGCCGAATGCAAGTCGGATCTACCTGAGGAGGCAGACAGTGAACGAGGACCCGTTCGCGTGCAAGATAGCAAACCAAGGCAGGGCGGTCATTTGCACGGAGTACTCGGGCTTGGGCTCCATCTGCGTAAGTTCGTGTTAAACTCCTCTTCGTTTCTTTTGCCATATTATATGAGTTTGAGCCGACAATTATTTAAAGATCGTGTGATCATGGGAACTAACATGGGTAATGGGCTGGTGGTCGTACGTTTACAGGCCAATAGATAAACTAATGAAAATAAGCATAGGTGGTTTAGGCATGCACAACGAAAAGTATAGCGAGTACCAATAAAAAAGTTGAGCTAAAATGAATGTCAAGAGGTTAAGAAAATAAACGGGTATAATGAAGATGACTTAAATAGAAGTTGTGCAAAAAGATTCTTAAGATTTTAACCAAGGACCTCATATAACACAAAACAAAGATGAATGGTATATGAGGATTCACCAAGATAATCTCAAACAGGATTCACCAAGATAATCTCAAACAGTTAGGATAAAACTAGTGTTGAAGCAACCTAACACCTTGGCTCCTTTTTCAAAACTCATGAAATCAAAATACGCCCATTGTCATAAGATTTTGGAACCCTTACAATTGATACCTTCTATCATCAATGACCCTTACAAACGACTCCTAAATAGTGGAAATAGGGTACTAGAAGATCTAAGGAGCTCTAAATAGGCATAAATTTAACAAAACTACTCTAGGAAGATATGAGTTTATGCAACAAAGAGAAAAACAAACAAATTGGGAGATTGTAGACCAAAAAGAGGGAACCCGCATGTTCCCAATATTAAAGAGGCTTATCAGAAAAGTTTGGAAGGCTATGAGAAAGTCACTTAACAAAAAAGCTAATTTGTGCTAGCTTTAAGTTACAGCTTATAAGGTTGAAATATCATTTCATATTTAATTCATTAATTATGTTCAATCTCTAGAAGGCCAGGTATAAAATTGGGAACTTGAGATAGAACACTAGTTCTAAAAAATTTTTAGAATAAAGAAACATGACTGGCTACCAAATTGAAGCCATCAAAGGTTTCAGTAAAAAAAATTGAGGATCAATTAATTAGAAACACTTTGATATTACAAACTGAATGGCCTCATAAAGTTTATTGAAAGATAATATTAAGTCGATGGGTTATATTGGCTCACATCAGCTAGTTGCCTATATGACAAAATAGGAAACAAATTTCAAAACGGAGTAAAATGGAGCATTCATATTGGTGATTGTCTTTTAAGAAAAGCATGCTAATCTCTAGAATGTTCGAATGAATGATGCAACCAAATTTAATTTGCAATTTAGCTCAAATCAAAATCATAGATGAGCAAGGTCAACACAACCATAACTATGTAAAAGCCAAAATTTTCCAGACACTGTAGCAAGGAAGTTGAATTACATCAAGGATCAGCCTTAAGCCCATATCTTTATGCTTTAGTCATGGATGCTCTCACTAGACATTTGCAAGAGGTTGTATCTTGATGTATGCTTTTCGCTAATGATATTGTTCTTGTTGATAAGACTAGAGAGGGAGTTGAAGGTAAACTTGAATTATGGAGGTCAACCTTAGAGTCTAAAGGCTTTCATTTGAGTAAATCTAAAACTGAATATATGGAATGTAATTTTAATAATAATAGTTCTAGCGGGGGGATTATTACCATGGTTTAAAATTGCACAATATGAGGCTCGCCTCGAGGCCCGCCTTTACGCAATTCTAGTAAAAAGCGCCTCGATGCTTACACTTCGAGTTTTTTTATGAGGCTTGCGCCTAAACTTGGTTGAGGCCCGCCTTGCCTCACTAGCATGAGGCTTACGCCTCACGCTATATATATATTAACACTTATATAAATCTTTAAGTAAATGTCCGACATTGGACTCTATAGGAGAGGAGGAAGGGGAGAGAGCAGTTCACCATAATGATGATTCAAATGAAGAACCCCCTAGTGATGACAGTGCTGATGACTTGTGAGTTCTTATGTGATATGTCATTGCTATTTATTTTTGGAAATTGGAATTATATGTTAATGAAAAGAATACTGGGATTTGGGAAAGATATAATTTTGAGTTGAACTATATTTCATGTTGTCTTATTATTGAGATATTTTGATTTCACTTCATATCTTATGTTTTTTTATGTTTTATATTATTCACTCATTAGTATATAAAAAATTTATCATTTTATGTTAACACAATCTTTTGATTTTGAGCCTTATGCCTCAAAACGCCTTAAGGCTTACGCCTCGCCTCACGAATGAAAAACGCCTCAATACCCGAATACGCAATTTTAAACATTGATTATGACTTTGGGTGATCAAGTCATTATTAAGAGTACATGCTTTAGATATCTTGGGTCTATTATTCAAAGTGATGGTGAAATAGATGGAGATATTATTAGTAGAATTCAAGTTGGATGATTGAAGTGGAGGAATGCATCGGGCTTGTTGTGTGATAGAAAATCCCCCCTCAAACTTAAGGGAAAATTCTATAAGATGGTGGTTAGACCTGTAATGCTTTATGTTGTAGAATGTTGGCTAGCAAAATAGAAGCATAATATTAAATTAAGTGTTGCAAAGATGAGGATGCTCAGGTGGATGAGTGGTTTTGCTCTTAGAGACATGATATGAAATGAGCATATACGTGAAAACTAGATGTATTAGATTTGACTTATGTTAAAAAGGGTAGAGGTAGACTTAAAAAGACTTGGTTAGAAAATATTAGAAATGACCTTTTTTATTAGATTTAAATGAGAATTTAACTTTTAACAGGGCACAATGGAGAAATAGGATTCATGTAGCTGACACCACATAGTGGGATAAAGGCTTGATGTTGTTGTTGTAGCAAGGAAGTTACTATAGCAATGTTGCAGCGATGGGTATTTTAGCAAGTTGTTGTAGCACCTTGTTTACGAAAGATTGATCCTACGAAAAAATATAGAAGGACATCCGTTGATGAGAAGACTCAATTTTTAAGGTGAGATACTCAATTTTTAATATAATGATAAAATGATTCTTAAAATTAAATTTTAAATTCTAACTCATCATGATTGCATATGATCGCATGATGCGGATATCTGACGGTGGATGTTACTCAATGGAAGAGACAAAGATCAACAGCCGGGATCACGCCTTTTTTATCTTATTATATTGATTGTATTTTGATTTAATTTTGCATTTCTCGTTTTTACTCTTATTTAAGAGTCTCGTCTTATGTAAGCCCATGGGACAAAATTGTATTTTTTTTTTAATTTCTTTTGTTTTGAGGCCTATATATATAGAGGCCCTTGTTCTTGTATGAGATGATGTAGTTTTAATAAAAAATTTGTTCTGCACTTTTGTTCTTGAGAAGAATGTTAGAGAGAATCCCTATGGAGGGCATCACGGTTTCCACCAGCCGCAGGATGGGTCCGGGCTCGTGGGTTGAAGTCCCTTGGTGAAGAGCATCGTATCACCCGTCAGTCTTCGGAAGAGTCCAAAGCTGGCAATTATATATATATATATATTATTTTTTCTTTGCTTTGTTTTCTCCTTATTTTTCTAATCATCATCCCCATCCTAAGCCTAACCAGCCAGCTTTCCCCACTCCAAACCGCCAACACTCTCACAAACCATAACTCTAATACCTCCATAGCCGTCGGCCACCTTCTTTCCTCCATTGGCTCCCACAATTTCATCTTGCATTCAAAACCTTCCTATTCTATACATCTTAATTTGGTAATGAATTCGAGTGCAAAATTCAAATTAATTTGAATTTGAATTTGTTTCATAAATTATGACTACTATTTTAGGAAAATTGTTTAAACTATGTCCAATTAAATTTCTGATTGGATTTAATTTAATTTATTTGCATCAATTAAAGAGCTTTGATTAGGCAAGCCATAAAGTCCCTTACCTAATCCCTCTTTCCCTCTTAAAGCCGCCGACCACCTAACCCTAACCCTAATTCCTAGCCTAACAGCCAGCCACTTTTCCCCAATCCCCCTTTGCCCCCAATTCAAATTCCTATTCAAGACTTTCCTTTTATTCAACTCCTTAATTTAGGAAAGTTTCAATTTTCAAATTCAAATCAATTTAAAATTAAAGTCCTTTCCTAAAATAAGTTCAATTTCATTTGGAAACTTCTTTAATATTCTCAAATCTAAAATTAATTCAGATTTAAATCAATCACCACATTCAACGAATCTGGACACCCTCTCTCCTCTCCCTCTCTAGGCCGGCCCCTCCTCTCTCTCTCCAATCCATTTAATTCCCATTAACTCCCCCCCCTCTCTCTCTTGGAGCCTTAATTCACCCTTAATTAAAGGAATAATTTTCTTTTCCATTTAATTTGAAATCCCAAATTTCAAATGACCTCCTCCCTCCTCCCGTTTTAGATAAATCGCATTGGTAGAAATTCTTGTACAATGAACATGTTAAAAACATCTAAGAGCATCAAAGAGCTTAATGCATATGCTCCATTGATGCATTCCATGCGATCATTAATTTATATGATTTCTATGTAAATCTTCATTAAATTTAAAGTATAAGATTGTTAAAGGACAACAGATGCAAAATGTTTATTTTTTCATTTATCATGTTTTATCATTTACGTTTATTATCATAAAATTATAAATAAGTGCATATGTGAATGCCAGAGAATAAGAAAGATTAAACTAATAAGAATAAAATTCAAGGATCCTAGGAAAGGCCATATCATGTGAAGTTAGGTGAGCTGACTTTAATAACCAACACAGGAAGAGATGATTCCTGATACTGGAGAGTTTGATAGACCAACCTTTATCCAAAAAAGATGAATAAAAAGAAATTTCTAACCCTCGATGCTGGAGAGTTGGAGACTAACTTTTATGAAGATTATTAAAAAAACTCCTGACCCTTAAATAATAAGAGTTTGTTAGCCTGACTTTTATTAAGGGGATGATGATATAAAGGGGCTAAAATCTATAAGCATAATATAACATTAAAAATAAGGGATTAAAAATGAATATAGCACAATTTTTTAAAAGTAATGAAAATGAAATAAGAAATATATAGTTCATTTTATGTTCATCATACAAGACTAATAACTCATGTATTGCATAACATCTAAGGCATTGAGCTTATTACGCATAATTGAATGTGGATAATTTTTATAGCACATATGAGCATAGTAGTTTTATGTCCTTTTTCTTGTATATTCATTTTATGTTGGAATTGTTTATCTCACTCTTATAGTTCATTTGTGGATATGCTACGATTTCAGGAAAAAAGGGAAGTAACACAAGGATTAAAAATCAGGAATCTAATTCTATTATTAATACTATGTGGGATTGATGATTTCATATATTATAAAGATTTATATTATGATGATGTAAATGAAATATAGTGAGCATTTATGAATCTTATTTTGAAAGATGCATTAGAAGCTTTGTAATTGACTTGATGATTTTAATTATATACGCTTCCATTTCAATGTATACGATGGATGTAAAAGATTATTATTAAATGTTAGGTATGTTTTGGGACGATCAAGCCTAACTATTTTCATTCACTCTTTCATGAGTGAGTTAATTATGATGGGTGTTGTGGAAACCAAGTCTATTCAGATTGTCCGTTTTTATTACATCCAATGATTTCCGGGAGGTGAAAATAGAGCCTAACAAGCTGTTTTAGAGCGGAAAAGTAAAACAGATAGGGAAACCTTGGCTATAATCAAATCTATGGCTAGACAAATAGTTAGCCATTCCTTGACCCATCTAGTCGTGCATTTGATCAGCAAGAACTACTTGTACTCAAGCATATGGCAAATCTTCTAGTAGCCAGATTTTCATACTAACAAGGCAATAAAAAAAAACCAAAGAACATTGCTTAAATATGACATTATGTATTTCAAACTTTCTTATTTTTTATTTTATAATTTAAAAAAATACATATGATTCTCATAGCACATTGGGCAAAAAGAAAAGGCGCACACAAATTTAAGATAAAGATTTAATTTAGTTCCCAAAACTTTACTCTGGCTGCTTATGCTTGTGAACTTGAACTGCTCCAATTTTTAGATTTTGATTGCTTTATTGCCTTCTAACTTCTTTTTCTGCTTTATTTTACTACCGAAAACTTGACATGAAGCGTCCTTGGACCAAACACAGTTGCCTAAAAGGCAACATGTTAGCGATGTTTTCATACAGACAACTTTCCCTGAATTCTTTGGTTAAATTCAACTAAGTTAATCTCTATCTGTTTATTAACTTACTTATTCACTTACATCTGCAACAACCCCTTGCAGGAGTGGCAGCATTCATCAGCATATCTCCTAGTATTAAACATTAAAATAAATTAACAGGGCAGGAAATCACCTTGAATGTTCACCAAAAAACGACATAAATCTAAGAAATATATACAGAATAACCATTTAAAAGAAGCCACCACGTGGGAGCAAATTCATTAATAAAACTGTTTTAGCTAACATTCCATTAAAAGTAGTAAGAAAATGAGATGCATACCAGATCAATGACAGCTTGTGCCTCTTTCTTTAGTATGGCAAAATTCGCTCTTGCTAGGTCTGCTTGTTCCTTGTCAATCTTGCGGAAACGTAACAGAATTATGAAAGAAAAAAAAAATTATCTAATAGTCGCACGGGCTAAAAAAATATCAAACCTTTTGCAAATTTAGCTCATCATCCCCTTGTTCTTCACGAAGTAAGAAGTCCAATACTGAAGCTGGGATTTCTGGATCAAGAATACTACGGCAGTATTGAAAGTAAATAAGGAGTAATCCATACTGTCTGCAGTAAGGAAATTTTAATGTCATTAGGAAGCAATAAAAAGACGGGAAAGTTACAGCATGCCATATTTTCCCATGCTCAGAGCATGGCTCAGTAATCTCATAAAGTACCGTCTTCTTAATGCTTCAGATGATTCAATCCTAAGAATAGCCATCATTAGCTTAAAAAGTATAGAGTGACAAGCCCCATTTGGTAGTTGCTTTACGGAAACAATATCAAGGCATGTGACAATATCAGAATCTGAACCTCCAGGGCCCAAGAATCTTTCATCTCGTAATCTGGCCATACAAGTAAGTGCCACCTGGCACCATAGAAAGCAGAAAAAAAAAGTAACATTAAATAACTGAATAAAAAGAGCTATAACAGGTTGACATATAGGAGCTATAACTCACATGGCTTAGTATCAATGCCATCTTTAAAGAACAATCTGGAGAAGCTGATGCAGTCAATGAAGCATCAAGCAACCTGAAATTCACCCGGAACAAATGATGAATTGCTCATGAGAACTGAGATTAAAAAATTAGTGAAAAGCTTACTCAAATATTAATTGGGAATGATCTTCCATAAATAACATTTTTCTGGATATGGACACCTGAAAGATGATAAATGGCCAATCAAATAAAACAAAAAAGCCACCACGGACTCAATAAGAGATATCATACTATACCAAAAGAACATTGAGAAGGATATAAAACAGGGGGAAAGGAAAACTACCTCAACTATGTGAGACCAACCAGTCAACATATGAAGCTGGGCTGCTTGCTCTTCAAGATTTTTGTTGTACTTCCAAGCCCACCTCAGTAATTGCTGAATGCCTTCTCTCAAGGCCTCCTTCTCTACTTCATTGAGATGGGATATTGCTTGCGGGGAGGAGACTTTAAGCATCTAAAATTACCAAAAGCGAAATTTTTTTTTTCATCATTGCAACCAAATATGCAAATTAGCTTGGAAAATAATCTAAAAATCAATTTTTTTTAAGTTTGAAGTAACATAAAAAGAACTTAAGGAATTGGACCTGCCACAGCCTGTCATGAAACGCTTCAACATCAATTAATCTATCACCTCTCTCTGAATAATAATAGACACCACCCATCTCAGATGTTGAAGGATTCCTAAGTATATCTTCAACCTAACAAATTTATCGTCAATCATAGAGAACAACAAGAATGAGGATAACCAAAATAACAAACATTCACCTGAGTATGGTACTTCATATTCAGAAAGAATTGGGGATATCTCAAGGCAATGTCAGGAGGCTTAAACTGAATAATTTCAAGACATTCTAAAGCCTGAAATCAAGAAATATATGATGAAACTGATAATTTTTCAATTCAACTAAAGATGTTTCAAATCTGAATGCAATAACTGCTATTACAACCAAAGAAAAGACAATGAAAAAATAATTGTTTCATTTGAATATAAATATTCAAAGCAACACTATGCAATCTAAAAAGTGATAAAAGAAGAGGAACTAAACAAATTACAGGAAAAAGCATACGAAAGATTCAATCTCATCATGGCATTTGTGAATACCAAATCATGAAAACATGTAACTAAAATTGTTTAACCAAGTATTTTCATCAAAACAGGAATAAATAGAATGGAATCATCCAACAACAAACTAGTATTGTATAATGAAAACCATCATTAATATGGTAATTAACAATTGTAACACGGAATGATTGTAAATTATAGTTCTATTATGGTTAGGGGTAAAACTAGTCAAAGAGCTTAATTCCCCTTGCCAATGGTAGGAAATAAATGGCTAGTAATATCATTAAATCTTTTTAATGCACCTAATATTTGATGTAGGCAAGGGGGGTCAAATAAAATTAGATTTTGATTTTGGTGAGCTTTAATTTCCTCTACTAAAAATCAGCTCATAAATGCTTTCCCACTACTTAGTCAGCTCATAATTTGGTTTTAATTAGGTTCATTCCCCTTGCCTTTGTCTCTTTGGTTTCCCCTCCTTTAACTTCTCTATTCCTATCCTTGTGTCTCTTCCTTTCCCCTTTGTCTTTTCGGTTTCTGTTGGCTGTTGTTGTTCCCGTGGCCCTCCTCGTTTTCCCTCCTCCTGGCTATTTTCCGTGAAATGCCTCCTTGTTTTCTGCGCTGGCTCTTCGGGTACCTTGCTGGCTGGGCTTCCCGTGGCTGCTGGGTGGGGTTTCCGTGGGTTGTTTCCCCATTTTCTGTGCAGAAATTATGCTGGCTGTGTTGCTATCTTTTGGCCTTTCATTTGGTGACTTTTGGCCATTCATTTCCCTCTTTTTAATTGAGATATTTAATGTGTTTTGGTGGATGTTTGTCTCCCCTTTCTTCCTATATATAGCTATTATGAGACTTGAAAAGGATGGATAAAAATGAAATTTTTGGATAAAAACCTAAGAGGTTTTTCTTCTTTTATTGGATAGCTTGTGAGCTATGCCACCTCTTCCTCTTCTCCTCTCTATAGCTTGTGAGCTATGTTTCTTCTCGACTTCTAACCTATTCTTCTCTACGCAAGTGTCCACCTCACCTGTATCCTTCTTCTCAAGGCAAAGCAACTTTAGGTGTTTAAGTTGTCTTTATGTCGTCAAAGTTTGTAAGTGTCTAAGTTTGTAAGTCTTTTATATTATTAAAGTGAAGTTGTTCTTAATTTAGGTGTCATTTTATGTTGTAATTTTAATATTTCATGTAATCTTCTAATTTATAGGAAGAGTTTCTTTAGCTTGCAAAAATTTGGAGCCCTTCCCAAATTTTTGCTTGCATCAATATTATTAAAAGGATTATAAACAAAACTCTTAAATACTTCGTTTTTAAGTTCTTAGTCATGTATTTTGACAACATCCTCATTTTTAGCATGTACGAAACAAATCATCTTGATCATCAATGCCATTTATTCATAAGATGCATCAATCTAATATATATATATATATATATAATGCAATCAAAAATTTGGGGAGGGACCCAAATTTTTTATCACAAAAACACAAACAACTTCCTATATAAAAGAAGACACAAAATGCTCAAAAAGAAGAGATAACTTAGAAATTTTAGAACAAACTCTTACATTTCATATAAACGAACACTTTTATAAATAAAGACTTACAACTCTTAAAATTAAACGACTTACAAACAAAGACTCTAACAAGACACCCTAAACTTGCTTACTTTGAGAAGAGGGATACAGGTGAGGTGGTCACTTGTGGAGAGACGAAAGAGATTAGAAGCTGAGATGAAGGGTGGAAAGAGCTCGCAAGATTTCATAGAGGAGAAGAGAAAAAGAAGTGGACAAAGCTCACAAGCTTTTCCAACAAAACCCACAGGTTTAGTTTTCCAAAAATCATTCACATAACATATTCCTAACAACCCAAAACATCTACTATTTATAGACATGAGAGGGGAATACAAATAGCCACAAAACATTAATTTAAAAGCTAATTAAATAGGGAATATGAAAAGCCAACAGTCAATTCCAGGAAACAAAGCATCAAGCCACGGAAAAGCCCCCATACACTCACGGGAAACAGCCCAGCCAGGAACCGAAGAGGCAGCCGCAAGAACCAAGGAGACAAGGCACGGAAATCCAAGAGCCAACCGTGGGACCCAAGGAGCCAAGGTACGGAAACCAAAGGGACAACAAATGGGGGAATGAACCTCAATTTATGAGCTAAAAAGGCTTTCTACAAGACATTAATGAGCTGATATAAAATTTTTAACTCAACTTGTTTTGATTCATTCCTTGCCTACATCAGACTCCCCTTCTTGAGAACTCATCTCCCGATGAGTTGGCTTTTGCTTTCTTCGGAGGCAAGGACGGTGCATCCAGCTCTTGATTTTTTTTTTTGCTTCAAAATTTTTGGCACTTGAGTGCAGCTGCACTTGAATCTTGAAAAGCTTGATCTGAATCGGGTCAAAAGAATTTTCTAGTGGCGAGGTCCATTGGTTTACTTTCTTGCTTGCTTTCCACTTGATGTTTATCCAACTTGACTTAGAAAGACACCAGACTTAAGACACAAACCTAGGAAGACACAAAACAAGACTCACGCACAACTATCATGACACATCTAGAACTCACAAACAAAACTTACATGACATCAAGACACATAAGATTTACAAGACTCACAAGACTTACACAATAAGACTTGACTTGACAAACCAAATTAAAATCCTAGGACTTCCTAACTCGCTCTGATACTAAATTAATGCAATCAAAAATTTGGGGAGGGACCCAAATTTTTTATCACAAAAACAAGACTCTTTCTAGGATGATAGAAAGACATAAAATACTCAAAACTTGACAAAATATAACTAACAAAATAAAACACAACTTTAATATTATAAAAGGACTTACAAAAAACTCTTACAAACTTGACTCAAACAAGACACCCTAAACTTGCTTTCCAAAAGAAGAAGGATACATATGGGGTGGTACTTGCGGAGAGACGAAAGAGGTTAGAAGCCAAGACGAAGGGTGGAAAGAACTCGCAAGTCTTTCCTAGAGGAGATGAGAAGAAGAATGGATCAAGCTCGCAAGCTTTTCCAACAAAACCCGCAGGTTTACATTTCCAAAAATCATTCATAAACTTTTTCAAAATTTGGCTGACTAAGAATTGGAGCTTGACTCATTTTGATTTTGATAAGTTGAAAAGTTTTTTAAGCCTCAGGGGTCCATTTAAAGATTCCTTTTTTTAAACAATCAGTGATAGGAGCGATCACAAAACTGAAGTTTTTAATGAATCGACGATAAAAGATGCTAACCCATGAAAACCTCTTACCTCAATGATATTTCTAGGAACAGGCCAGCTCTTTATTGACTCAATTTTCACAGGATCTACTTTGATTCCTTTAGCAGACACAATGTAACCCAAGAATATCAAACTTGAAGTCATAAAAGAACACTTATTTAAATTGATATACAATTTTTGTTCCCTCAAAGTTTTCAGAAAAGCTCTGATACCAAATTAATGCAATCAAAAATTTGGGAGAAGGCCCCAAATTTTTTATCACAAAAACAAGACTCACGCACAACTATCATGACAAATCTAGAACTCACAAACAAAACTTACATGACATCAAGACACAAGATTTACAAGACTAACAAGACTTACACAATAAGACTTGACTTGACAAACCAAATTAAAATCCTAGGACTTCCTAACTCGCTCTGATACCAAATTAATGCAATAAAAAATTTGGGAGAGGGCCCCAAATTTTTTATCACAAAAACAAGACTCTTACAAACGACTCAAACAAGACACCCTAAGCTTGCTTACTTTGAGAAGAGGGATACATGTGAGGTGGTCACTTGCAGAGAGACGAAAGAGGTTAGAAGCCGAGAAGAAGGGTGGAAAGAACTCGCAAGTCTCCCCAAGAGATAGAAGAAGAAGAAGTGAACAAAGCTCGCAAGCTTTTCCAAAAACCCGCAGGGTTCTTTCCAAAAATTAATTTTTCGCTTAACATATTCCTAACAACCCAAAACATCTACTATTTATAGACATGAGAGGGGAATACAAATAGCCACAAAATATTAATTTAAAATCTAATTAAATAGGGAATATGAAAAGCCAACAGTCAATTCCAGGAAACAAAGCATCAAGCCACGGAAAAGCCCCCATACACTCACGGGAAACAGCCCAGCCAGGACCGAAGACGCAGCCGCAAGAACCAAGAAGCCAAGGCACGGAAATCCAAGAGGCAACCGTGGGAACCAAGGAGCCAAGGCACGGAAACCAAAGGGACAACAAATGGGGGAATGAACCTCAATTTATGAGCTAAAAAGGCTCTCTACTAGACATTAATGAGCTGATATAAAATTTTCAACTCAACTTGTTTTGATTCATTCCTTGCCTACATCAATATATATATATATATATATATATATCAATTACATAAAGTGCACTTTATTCCAAACCAATCCCATTATAGAGTTGTGATATTTTCCAAAGGATTGGAAGTTGACCGACAAAAATTAAAGCTATTAACACAGTTATTGTGTCCAAAGTCTCCAAGTTCCAACTTCCAGCCACTTTTTCTTGAAGAGCTATCAAAGATTTTCATTCCATCTCAACACCACTAGCATGCAACTTAAAATGAGACGAACCTGGTCATCAAAAGAGCGTTTAACCTGGTTGAAATGTAAATGATTGATTTGCAACCATAGTTTGGAATTCCCAATTTTATTTCTAGTGAGAATTGGTGGTGCATTCATTCAAAAAATCATGATGCTACGCAATTTAAAGAGAAGATGAATTATAATATGCAAGATACTCTACAAGAGGAGTCATATGATGTGATTCAAGTACTAAATTATTAGCATCATACTCCATCAAGAATTTGTTCTACAATCAAGTCACCAAGCCTTAAAATATTGCAATCCCAAACAAAAGAATAGTCAACATTCTAAATGGGTTGCATTTATACAAGAGTACTCTTTTCTTCTTGAGCGTCAATATGGTTTTGCATAATAGTTTTTGAGTTGAGCTTATATCTACTTGATAAAATTAATATGAGAGTGCTTAGCTTTGATAAATATAAAGTTAGAATACTCACTATGTCATGACTTTCACCTAATTGACCATGGAACAAAAGACTGCCTCTTGTTGTCTTAAGAGTTTATCATTCAATATGAATGCCTTACGGAAGGATAAAAGTTATGCATGCCACTCGCCCCTATGGACAGCAATTACTTTCATCATTATTGATCTGCATCGCTCATGTCCTCACCGCTTTTAGGATTTGCACATCTCAACTTTCCCTATCTTTGCACCCAAGTTCGACTAAATCGTCTCCTTCCTTTATGTATCTAAGGGTTTCAAAGGTTCACTCTGAGCCATTGCCGTCACACCCTATTCAAGTTGTCTTGGGCATCTTAGAGGTAATTTCGCATATTGTTCGGACCTCTCAACCTTTTGGAAATGTGGTGGCTGGAATGTCAGGATAAGGATCACTTCCATTATCTTCCACTCAATCCCCATTATTTTTCATCATGCCTCAGATATGCATGTACAAAGGAAAGTTTCTATTTTCTAAGGCAAACATGCGCTCATTTTCACAAATGTTGATATATTTAACTTGCTTGACCATTCTATTTATCTATTGGTGGCAAATTCTTGCTAGATCTCATTCGTAAATTCATGTAAAATTTGATAAAGTGGTTGGTGAATATGCAGTTGGTTTCATTAATGATGTAGACAAAGCGGGGGTCAACACAAGTCCAAAATAATTCAGATTTTGGCTTCCCTTGAGTCTAGTGGTTCATCATATTTGAGCTGAACTTTTAGTTCATTTATGAACTGGACTTTAGTTCATTTATTGAACTAAGGGTTAGCTCATTATGAGCTAACATTTTAGTTCATTTATTATCTTACTTTTTATTTAATGCATTTTTATTATAGTTTTAATGTCTTAAAGTTGTCTCTTGGGTTTCCAAAAAGGGCTTTTGGAATCCCAAGAAGTTGTTTGCTTTTCCCATGGTGGCTCCTTGGTTTCCACCATTGTTTTTCATTTTTTTAAAGTGCTTTTGCCCCTTGGGATTCCGGCCGGCTGCTGGTCTTCCGAGCCCGGGGTGTTTCCCGTGGCCGTGGCTCCTCGGTTCCGCTCAGCCTCCTTATTTCCCACGGTGGCTGCTTCGGTTCTTGGATTGGGTTGATTTCCGTGAGCATGGGGGGAAGATTCATATGCTTTTAATGCTTAGTTTTATATGTTATATTTATGTAAGGTGTCTTTTGGTCTTCCCCTTTCATACCTATATATATGGGAGGATTTGTAATGTTTTAAAAAGTTGAATGATATTTGATTTTTGGAAAATCTGTTAACCTGCAAGTTGCTCGGAAATCCTGCGGGCTCTTTCCAACCTTCTTTCTCATCCCCTCCGAAAATCCTGCGGGCTCTTTCCACCCTTTCTTCTCGGGCTTCTAATCTCTTTCGTCTCTCCGCAAGTGCCACTCCACCTGTATCTTTCTTCTCCAAGTGCAGCAACTTTAGGGTGTCTGTCGTGTTGTTTGCAAGTAGTCGTTATAATTTCTTTTTTTTATTTTTATTTGAAATATAAGAGTTTGTTCTTCCCTTTTTTCGTCCTTTTCTCTCATTTTCGTCGTTAGAAGTCCGTCGTGTCCTTTGTGGGCGAAGGGTATAGGCTCCCTGTATCTTTTGCCCGCATCAATTAATCATCATTATATCCTTATTAAACTTTTATTGGAGTTGAATTACACTAGGCACATTTCTCGCTAATCCTATTATGATAATACCCCCCCCCCCCCCCCCCCCCCCCCCCCCCAACACACACACGCACACACAAAAAAAAACAAATGATGCTTTCAAGGAACCACTTATTACACCATATGGGTGGCTACGCCAATGTTATGTTTAAATTAACTTAATCCATTAACTCTCAACTCTATGGGATCTATTTTTTATACTTTGAAAGTTGATATTGCTCCTCTCATAGTGGTTATTGATTCATCAACTGACGTTTGCACTCAAAATCTGCACCTATTAGTCCTAAAACTATATTATCAACACCTCCTAAGAATATCTTGTATTTTTGACCTACTACTTGGAAGTCCAGCATCACCCTCCTATTGGTGAAAATATAGATTATCATGATTCACAACAACATTCTCTTAATTCTGATGGGGCATTCTGAGTGTTGATATAATGATAAAAAAGAGATTTAATGGGAAAAAAATAAAAAAGAAATCTATCATCACTTCCTATTTTCACCTGACTTCAAGCTAAGCAGTCCAATAGAGTTGGATTCAATTTCTAATGATTGCTTGTGCTCCACAATATTTGTATAGTCCTATGTATTTTTCGTCTTTCCTAACAATTTTTATTAATTGGCCTTGTTGTACTTTATCATTATCTAATTATAAATATGGATTTAAAAAAGTGGATTAGGCCCGAGAATTAACATTCTATATAGAAATGCACCCAACCCATAAGCCCATCTAGCTTTCCATGTATACATTAAACAGAACTTGTACCAGAATATACATATCATAAACCCTTGTATAATATGCTGAAAAATAGAAGGGAACAAAAAATCAAGTTTGAGACCTCTAGATTAGATACCATATTAAACTCTAGAACTAACATATTAAACTCGGGAACTATGATGCACCGACACTTCTCCTCAAAGAGGAGTGCAGTGTTCGACACCGCGTCCGACACGACACTCACCCGACACTCCTCCGACACGTGTCGGACACGTCGAAATCGTGTCCGATTAAAAAATATTAAATACAAATTGGACGCGCGTGTCCGACACGCGTATCTTAAATATTTTATGAATTTTTTTAAATATAATTTTTTGTATTTGGTGGGATTTAAACTAAATTTCTTATTTCCTATCCACAACACCAAATCAACGTCCGCACTTAATACCCAATCATCGAATATTCTCATTTTCATTTCTTTTTGGCAGTGAAAGTATTTTCATCTCCTCTCTCGGTGACTGATAAACGGCACCGACGCTTGCCTCTCGACATCCTAATACTAATCATTTTAAGAAAAAATTCTAGTTAAATGACTTATTATTTTCAAATTATTTTTAAAATTATACTTATTTAATTTTTATACACTATTTTTTAAATATAAAAACTATAATACCGTATCTAACCCGTGTCAGTGTCCTATATTTTCAATAACTAACGTGTCCCGTGTCGTATCTGAGTCGCCGTGTCCGTGTATGGTCATCATAGCTCGGGAATTATCTCTCATGAAAAATGTTAGGCTTTTCTGCATATTCTGAGAGTCTAATGCCACTAAAAGTAAGAAACATGCACTCTAAAGCAAATAAGTTGAAGCAAAAAAAAGGCACAAAAAATTTTCTTCGCTTATTTCCATCTCCAGGCAAATAGATCTTACCAACAAATGGTTTTAGTTCTTAAAATAGAAAATCCATAAACAACTGAAATTTTCGAAAGATGTCACAATTCTTAAACCATACCTTATTTTTGCCGGTTCCACAAAGAAAACCAGAAGCATGCGCCTCAATAGTTTTGGATGAATTAGCTTCAGTGCAGTTCTCGCCAGCACATTGACCAAAAGTATGGGAGATAATAGTCATGCAAGTCTCTCTATGGGAGGCTTCAGCCATATCAGCTGAATGCAATTCCAAAGCTAGCAACCTTAACAACCATCCCCTCTGCAAGGACAATAATCAGATAAAACTCAGCAAAATTTAGGGAGTCAAAATAGATCGTACAGCCATCTTACAGCTATTGTAAACTAAAAAATTTTGGATTCAACAAACAGGACAGAATCAACATATAAAAAAAGATGATTTTTCCACCAATATCACAACAATATTTAAATTGTTTAGAGCACATCCAAATCATAATCCATTATAACATTTTCGACGCATTTAAATTTTCATATTCTAAGTCGTAAATACAAGCCTATTTGTGATTCCCTCTTCTAAATGAGAGCTTTCGGCTGAATGACGTCTATTTTTAACACTATTTTTAGCAAAATGTAAACATAGCATGCCAACATATGCTAGGAAACAAACGAAACTACTAAAACTAGGTCATGAATTTATGGTGTTTATTCATGAGTCTCTTATACATTATACGTAGGGTTAAAGGTCTGCATCCTTATATCATTAACCCATATAAAATATAAAAATAAATGAAGGCATACATGAGAGGTTCCAGCACATTAATCAATATACTTGACCTAGAAAAGATAGAGATGCCAAAAACATAATAAATGCAAGGAAAGTGACAATGCTCAATAAGAGGCAAGCCAATTAAAGGAGTACGGAGAGAAATTGGCATATCTGACGATGTAGAAGTGGGGGAATTATAGAGAAAATCCATACATGTAGATGAACCTCTCTATACAGCTTCTATAATCATCAGGTAAAGATGGTAAGCAGATTAGTTTTGGAAACAGTTTAATAAGCTATCTGGAAATAATAACATAGAAAATAGACAAAATTTAGATAGAAGAGCAAATAAGAGAAAAAAAAACTTAATCAAAAGAAAATCATTATAACTATTGATACATTTCAATATTTTTACTTCCACAATCTTCATGCGGCAAAGCCAGGACAAAGCAATGGTACTTCCAATTCACGACCATTAAATGGATCATGAAGAGTGCAGCTCTCAAATCTACATAATCAAATACCGGTCTTGAAACATCAAGAAAGATCCATCAATCTTAGCTTAAATCACAAGTAAAGCCAATCTTAGAAACATTCAATGAGAAGACCAAATTTAGATAAAAGAGCAAATAAGAGAAAAAAGTGCTAAATCAAAAGCAAATCATTATAATTATTGATACATTTCAATATTTATACTTGTTCACTCAAGAAAAGAAGGCGCTATGACACAAACCCTGCTTCATAAAGCCTAAGGTCCCATTTTTCTCAAGGTAGATTGGATTTAAATTAACTAGATTTCCTCATGATCGGCATCAGAGTTTAATTAATTCTGAGGTTCCACTTCATATGAACACAAGCTTTCATAGTTAATTACCCCTCCTAACGCATAGAAGAGAACTCTCGATTAAGGATGTTTAGATCAAGGTTTTAAAAGGCGAAATCGGGAATCGAGGCATTTTTTCTAAGCAATGCGAGGCATAAGCCTCGAGGCGTAAGACTCAAAACGATTAAAATAAATTAATTTAAAATTATAAATAATGACAAAAAATAACAAAATATTATGTCAACTATGTACCGCTCGGTACCGAGCGGTACTAGAAGCCCATTACCTGCATGAGCAAAGGAAGAAAGCCGAAATATAAGGAATTTGTTCTTCGCTGTGAGCTCTGTCGAATCCTAATGAGGCATCGCCTCACGCTACCTCGAGGCGTTACGCGTCGACGCGTACGCCTCGCTGAAAAAAATCGCACGCCTCGTCAAATACATTGAGGCTTAAGCCTCAAGGCGCCGGGTTAGCGCCTCGAACTGATTCGCGCCTCTGTTCGGACGCCTCGACCATTTTTTTAATCGTGGATATAGACACATACATTGAATGCGGACAATTCTCCCTCTCCCCTCTCTCTTTGGCCGGCCCTCATCCCTACCTTCTCCAATAAATTAGGAAATTTTAAAATTCAAATGACCCCCTCCATCATTCTACATCAGCTCTCAATGCCTCAATCCCAACCTTTCAATGCAGAATGAATGTGCGGGATAGGGTAGTTGCACAATCCAATTACCAGGTATTTGGAGAGAATGTGTCACGATCCGGCCCGGTTAGCTTGTAGATACGAGGCGGGAACGAGATCGGACATGTAAATTAAGTAGTCATCATCAGTTCCATGCAATTCTAAAGATATTCAAAAATAATAAAAGCGCCTCTAAACTTTCATGTCAATGTCACAGGTCTATCACAATGTACAAGAAGCATGCATTGGATGTTTGCACCATGCCTACTGCATTGTCTGTGCTGTTATCGGATGGGTCTAGGATGACTGCTACACTTATGTGTTCCACTTTTCTCACTATTTGCGAGGAGTTTGATGTTGTGTTGGTGGCCCGGACTGAAGGAGTGTAGCTGATTTTGTTGTCAAATGCACTGCTTGTCAGTTGGTAAAGGCGGAACATCAAAGGCCGAGTGGATTACTTCAACCCTTACCGATTCCAGAGTGGAAGTGGGATGATATTGCTATGGATTTCGTATCGGGTTTACCCAGATCTCGGAAGGGTCATGATGCTATTTGGGTAGTCATTGATAGGCTTACAAAGTCTGCTCACTTTTTGCATATTCGATTGATTGATTCAGTTGAGAAGCTTGCACTATTGTATGTGGCTAAAATTGTACGATTGCACGGCATGCCTAAGTCCATAGTATCTGATAGAGATAGTAGATTTACTTCTAGACTTTGGAGGAAAGTGCAAGAGGCTATGGGCACTAGATTGACATTCAGCACTGCTTTCCATCCTCAGACTGATGGACAAACAGAAAGAATCATTCAAACTCTGGAAGACTTATTGAGATTGTGTATCCTTGATTTTGGTGGAGGTTGGGAATCTCATATTCCTTTGATAGAGTTTGCTTACAATAATAATTTCCAAGCCAGCATAGGAATGGCGCCTTATGAAGCCCTCTATGGAAGGAAGTGCAAAACACCTCTTTATTGGGCAGAAATAGGTGAGAGGAAAGTCATTGGATCTGATCTTGTTGATGATGCCACAAGCAAAATTAAATTGATAATGGATCGATTACAAGCAGTCCAAGATAGACAGAAGAAGTATTATGATGCTAAGCACCGCTTTGTGGAATTCAGTGTGGGAGATTTTGTTTTCATAAAGATTAGGCCGATGAAGGGTGTACTTCGTTTTGGCAAGGTTGGTAAACTTGGTCCTCACTATATAGGTCCTTTTGAGATAGTGGAAATGATTGGAAAAGTGGCATACAGATTAGCATTACCCACTACATATGCTGTCCACAATGTGTTCCATGTTTCGTCACTGAGGAAGTATATATCAGATGATCCTTCTAAAATCATATCGGAAGATGTGGACTTACAGCCAGATCTTACATATGTTGAAGAACCGGATTGTATTCTAGAGTTTATGTGAAACAACTTAGAAGCAGAGAGATACCGTTCGTGAAGGTTCTGTGTAAGCATGGATTGGAGAAGAATGCTACGTGGGAGAAAGAGTCGGAAATGAGGAAGTGTTATCCTCATCTTTTTTAGTAAGGTATGATTGTTGTTTCTCCATTCTTTTAAATTTCGTGAACGAAATTTTTATTAGGAGAGGAGAATTGCAAAACCCGAAAATTTTCAGTTTTGTGCGTCGCACGCATATCGATGCGCCGCGACGAACTTAAGTTAAATTTCGATGTTGTCGGAATTCGACAAAATAAATTTTATTAAATTCGTCTCGAAATTTCGATTGAAACGGTATAAAGAACTCATACCAAATTTCGCACGGTTTTGGAATTAAAATTCTTCGAAGTTCATTTAAGTAATATTTTACATGTATTTCCCTTTTTGCCCTTAGAAGGTCTTAAGGAAATTGGAATGAGTAACTGAGTAAGGGTACATGCGTAATATGCGAATTTATTTTCCTTAAACCCCTTCTCACGCTTAAGGGACCGAAATTTTCGGTCCCTTGTGCGTTTTGTTCGGCCGACCAAGAGGAGAGGTGATGGGAGAGAGGGAGGAGGCGGAGGGAAGGCTATCCGAGCAGTGGTCGGCGGCTTTTCCGGCGAGGTTTCTTTAGGAAAAGCAAGAGGAAGACTTGGGGTATGTATTCCTTCAAGCATTTGAAGTTTTTTTGAGTTTTCTTGAAAGAAAAATTTTAGGGTTTGAGTTTTTTAGAAATTTCTTTAGGGAATTAGTAGGACTTGTCTTGACCTACAATTTCCTACCCTTCATGTTAAAAAATTTTAAGAAAAACACTAATAAAAAAATTAGGGTTTCTCATTTTTTTTTAAATTGTTATAGGATTGGATAGAGGAGTGTAAGGGAAGCTTTTTAGTAACAAGATTTTGATTTTTTTATTTAGAAAATTTTTAGTGGAAAAATTTGGGAAGGTTTAGGGTTTTTCCAAAACAAATGTTTAAGGGTTGCATGTTCCCTAATTTAGCTTCTAAAGGTTTGGGGAAGCCTCTAAATTTGGAAATTTGAAAGAAAATAATTTTTCTTAATTATTAATTATTATAAATCCGAAAATGATTAAATATTAATTATGGATTAGATGAAGGGGAAGTTTTGGCATGTTTAAGGGAAGAAATTAGCCAAATTGGAAAGTCAAAATTTTGAGAATTTATTAAATCCGAAAATCATAATTAAATAAAAATTAAACATTGTGTTGAGTTAAATAAAGTCGTAGAGATTTAAATCTCTTGTTTTCCTTTAGGTTGAAATTAAGAAAGGAGGCGAGGGCTTGTGCGGGAAACTTTCCAAGCACGAATTCTCAAAGGTAAGTGACTTTATTGGCTAAGGAAAGTGCGCATTTCATTATAACTATATTTGTTTATTAAAGTTTTATTCATGTGACACTAATTAACCATTGCATGACTATGATCAGATGATTTCAATCATGATAAGATGCTTTCATAAGATACTAAGTAACCCTTTCATGATTTGACATAAGAAATATAACTATTTCATGGCTTGACATAAAACTTTAATAAACAAATATAGTTATAATGAAATGCGCACTTTCCTTAGCCAATAAAG